TGTCCAAACACCATCAACATCTTCTGTTTGTTTGTTTGTTTGTTTTTATGAGTGTTTTGCGCTCCTGTATGTAGATGCATCACCTGCATGCAATGCAATGCCCATGGAGTTCAAAAGAGGGCGTTGGATCCCCTGGAACTGGAGTTATAGTTTTTAGCTGCCATGTGGGTGCTGGGAACCAAACAACTCTGCAAGAGCAGCCAGTACTCAACCATTAAGCCATATCTCCAGCCCCCAACAACATCTTGACTTGAGAAGTAAATTCCCAACATACATATATCAGACAGCACATTCACACCACAGCAGGGATGGTGGAAGAAATCTCACTTGTGATGTATTTTGTCTATATGAAGAACAGAATTGTGTTCTGGGTTCAGATTATTTCAGTATAAATGGATTTTTTTACCACAGTGAACTGAGCTAAGGTTCCACAGTGAAAATTATAGTTCTGGGTAAAATGACTGTAAACTGGTTACTTACATTTTAACCCTGTCAGTGGATGTGAGCTGTCCCCTTGATCCTTTGGGTTCATAACCATTAATAGAGAGTGCCTGCCTAACTGAGATGAGGTAGAAGGTTCTTTCTCTATGAGCTCTCCACATGGTAGCCAGAGCCAGGTGTGGCTATTGCATATTGGAATGTTGCTAGAATGTCTGTGTATCTAAAGAACTGTTTTTTAGCTTTGCTTAATTTTAATTAATCTAAAAACAGCTATATCTTACTGGTATCTGACATACTAGACAGTGTAGATCAAATTTCAATCATTGGGCCAGTGCTAGGGAAAAGAAATGAAAGATGGAGAAGGCCCAGTGGACATTAACAAGCCATGACTAGGGAGGGAGCTGGCATCTATTGAGTACCAACTGTGTGTCAGGTCCATACAGCCTTCACCGAGCCCCAATTCCCATTTTATAAGCTGGGTGACTTCCTCCCTCAAAAGATGGCAGCCCAAGCTACAGGCCTGACCCAAGGTAAGGCAGATATAAACCAGAACCCCAATCCTGTGAGACCCCAGAGGAAGGGGACAGGATGGCAGCAGGCAGCCTGGGGACCAACAGACAGGGACCTTGAATGCCACCCTCACAGGACAAAGACATATTGTTATGGCTAACCAGCCATGTGCCTGTCCACAGGATGGCACCATGTGAAGCTGCCATGACCAGGCCAGGATTGGCCAATGGGACACAAGGCCAAGATCAGGGAGAAATCAGGAATAAGAAGTCTGCATGGAAGCTGTCTCCCCAAGGTCACTCTGGAGGTTGTGGGAGGGTGACGAGACAGTGCTTCTCACACCTGGAATCCTTCCAGGAAGATGAGCTTCTGGGTCTCACACATGCAAGGTTTCTACAGGCCCTGCTGGACATTTGTGTGTGAAACACTTGCTTCTGCTATAATGATCTGAGATCAAAGTTGAACTCTCTGATGGGTACATGATTCATTTTGCACATTTTTAATATGCAAGGAATCTTCCAAGAATACAAGGCTATGTGAGTTGAGGGAGGTTATACTTGATTCTTTTTGGAGAGTTGCTCATCTGAACAATTTCAGACAGTGAAAACTGTGGTCCTTAAGTTATACTTATGTCCCTGTGAGTTGTGTGTTCACCTATCTATCTTCCTATCTGGGTATATTTTCTTAGCCCTTATTTCAAAATGCCAAAAATGGGGAAAGTATCAATAGCATTCAAGCAAACATTGCTCTGTCCCTTTTAAATTCAGACTTGCCCGTTATATGTAGTTTCAAATACCTGAAATCTTCATTATATCTGAGTATTTCCACATTGAATTATAGTATATTATAAAATCCCTTTTCTTTCTTAAGTGATTATTACTACATAATTACATTAATTTTTCAAAATACATGTTAAAATTGGGCTTATTTTGATATAGCAGAGAAATGTTCTAAAATATGTCTGAATTAGTAAGCTTTCTAGAATAACAAAATACCAGAGAAAGAGTTGGGCTGGGGCTAGCTCAGGGTAGAACATGAGTTTAACATACGTGAGGCCTTCTGTTAAATCCCTAGCACCATAAGGAGGGCGTGAGGATTTGGTTTATAGTCATGTAGGTTCCAGTTCATGATTGGTTAACCCTTCTGCTTTGGGCCTGTGGTAAGATTGAACAACATGGGGGTGGGAGGAGAAGAGGGCAATACAAAGTTGCTTATCTCCTGGACCATGAAGCAAAGAAAAAAAGAAGGGGCAGGAGCCAAAAAATCCCTGTCAGGAGCACACCCCAAATGACTTGACTTCATTTCATGGGGCCCCACCTCCTGAAGACTCCATCATCCCCCAGTAACACCAAGCCAGTTCCATAGGGTTGTGGCCTCAGACTGTTAGGGTTGGGATACTGGGCTACTTGTGCAAAAGAAGCCTGGCAGGGAAGAGTGCCTCTCTAACCTCACCCAAAACTGCCTGTTATTGGTATTTAAACATTTGCCAAACTCTAGACATTCTCCCAAGACCTGAGACATTTTTTCCATATGTACATAGTATCTGTATTATTTAATTACTATTTTCCCTTACATTGGTACACACGTTTTACTGTTTTTCCTCTCTCTTTTTGCAGTGCTGGGGATAGAACCCAGGTCCTCACACATATTAGGCAAAGTCTACCAGTAAGCCACACCCCACCAGCACAGCTGGAATAATTTTAATAATTTTAATAATTGTATTGCTGTCATAAATGAAAAGCTAAAACCAATGTGCTCACTATTTTTAGGGGACATGTAAGTAAATATGTTGCTGAATGCACACAACCTTCCCATTCGTCTGAGTACCCCCAAACTCATCCCAAACATCAGTGAAGGCAGGCACTCCATGTGTTTAAAGCCCCATTGATCATTTCATCATCATAGGAAACTCCAGGGTAGAGCCCCCATAATGTTCACAAGTGAACCAATGGGAAAAATGAAATGAAGCAGCTCAGAGAAGGGGAGGGGGCTGTGGAAGTCATACAGCAAAGCCATAGTTCTTCAGGGATTCCAAGGAAGGAGTCTTCAGGAGGAGCTGGGAGCTGCCAGGAAGGAAGGGAGGAAATGTCAACATCTGGGCCTTGTCAGACTATGTAAGCCCAGGGCTGGCAGCCAGATGGACTGCAACATGGAAGGCATCAAAGGATCACTGGGGCTCCAAGAGAGTGCTGATGTGGCCAGCTGGAGGGAACACCCAGCCACATAGAGGGTCTGTCAGGAAGGCAGAGTGGTGGCCACCAGGGCTGGTGTTCCCAGAACCTTACCTAGCCACTGGGAAGGATGCAACAAGGTCTTCTGGACCATGAGCATCCTGACAACTCCCAGAAGCACCCTTACTCCACTGAGGCTCCCAAAGGGGAGCAGTACAGGGTGAAGAAAAGGTCCCCCTAGGGATTTCAGGCCAGAGAAGGACAGCATGGATGCTGTCTCTCAGTGACCGAGCAGGAAGGCCCAAGGATTGATAGAGCTGTGGAGGAATCGTTAAATTCCGGGTATCAGACGCGCTCACAGGGCCCTGGGGAAACAGTTCTGCCTCTGCATCAACCCTATGCTTCTTGGAAATTTCCAAAGTGTGTCCTTCCTTCCCATGATCATGCCTCAGGGGCCTCGTCTTCCCAACTCCATTCATGTGACCAGACAGCCTCTAGGCCATGTCACACTGGAGCTTCCTTTCTTTTCCGCCTAATGAGCCAGCCTGGAGCAAGGACTGCTGGTAGATGTCAGCTCTTCCATTTCTGAGGTTGCTGTGGCTCTCATGACTCCATTTCCTTATGAAATGGGGACAATTACATTAATTATTGCTATATTTTAGATATAAAATGTCCCCACAGTGTTCACGTTTGGACACTTTTTCTGGATGGTTATGGAATCTTTAGGAGATGAAGCCTTGAGGCAAGAAGTGGCCAGCTGGGGGAAAGAACTCATAGGTTATAGCCCAGCCCCATTTCCAGCCCCAGTTCCTACTTCCTGGTCCACTAAGATGTAAAAAGCAGTTGTCTCACATTCCTGCCACCATGGAGTGCCCCCCCACTCCTCCACACACACTCCAAGAAACTGTGAGCCAAAATAAATCTTTCCTCTTTAAGTTGTTGCTGCTAAGTATTTTATCACAGTGACAAGAACAGTAACTAGCACAGGTATATTCATAGGTTGTTTAGAGGGAAATGTTTGAGTGCTGAAGAGGTTGGTGAGAGACAGGAGCTGCTGGAATGTGAAGTGGGGCAGGAAGGGACACTACTTTAAAAGTGGCCAGTTCACTAATGAACATTCATGTTATGTCAGATTTCTTTTCTCTATTCTATGAACTTGTAATTGCAGGGACGTGGAAAACAAATGTTCAAAACATAAAGATCTTGGAGTATCAAGGAGATTGACAGGGAATGAAGTATGTTTTCTAAAGTCAAGGAGGAGAGAGTCCTCAATTAAAGGCTTTCAGGGACAAGAACAGAATGTGTAAATTTAAAGTATCTGAAATTAGTCAGGTGGGGTGGAATATGTCTGTAATTTCAGCATGGGCTACAATAGTGAGACCCTGTCAAAAAAGAAAGAAAAAAAAGGAAACAATATAAACTTTAAAAAAAAATCACTCATAATAAGTCCAGAAGTCAGTGGCTCCAGAATCCATTGGCTCAGTATCTAGAGATGTTTGTCCAACTACTCGGTGATTCTCAGACATTTGGTCATGGTCACAATATGGCTGCTGCAACCCCAAACATAGCACCACCACACAACCATGTCCAAAAGCAGAAAGGGCATTTTCTGTCCCAAAACTCTTTTTTCAGAAGGTTGAAAATCTGTCCCATAGTGTCTGCAGATTTTTGCCTTGTATCCCAGTTTCTAAAATTGAGTTTCATGTCTGTTCGTGGCATGAACTATTTACAAAGAAGGCTAGAGCATATCTTAAAGTTCTTCCTGGCCTCTGGGAGGCTGACTTTGCTAGGACAATGGTGATGGGCCATGGATGGCTTACCTGTGCCAAGTGAGAAGGGTGGCCCACCTCTCAATACCTGTCACTCCCCTACCCACAGGTCAGAGGGGTCCCAGATCCTAAAGCCCCAACAAGCCAGCCCACAGCCAGGAAACAAGAATGATGAACCCGAGGCCAGCAGAACCAGAGATGCAGATACCACTCCAGAGGGAGCCTGGCAGTCAGACAGCAGCTGGAGAAGCAGAGCCCCAGGCGAAGGTCTGTCCCCATGTGTCTAGCCTTGCTGCCAGCCCCACAGTCAGTTGCTGAGGCTGTGCCTCATCCTGCTTCAGGGGCTGCAGCATCAGAGCCACCTTCAGGCCCCAGAGAGAACCCCACCCTTCTACTCAGACTGGCTTCCCGTGCCCACAAGGGCCTGTCCTCAGACATCTTCATAAGAAACTGGACCTTGGAAATCTGTGGAGGCACTGGGTCTCCATCTCTCACTCCCAATCTCAGAGCCTCTCACTTTGTTTAACCTACTATCTCTACCCTGCAAAGCCCTACCCAGCTTCCCAACCAGGTCACATGTCCTGAAATGGAACTGATGCTCACCCTTGAAACTGTAGACATATCCCCATATGTCACTTAAGAAACAGAAGAAAGCAGAGCTGTTTCTTATAGGTTCCCATGCAACTCCCCAGGGGCCTGGGCCAGTCACAGAGAGAAGACAGTGCCACCATGGTGGCCTCACTCACAGGCGTTCCTCTGAGGAGGGCTGGCTGGTTCCCATGCCAGGTCTCTGGTCCCCAGATCTCCTGCTTCTCCAGCAGAGGATGAGCAGCTGTTCCGCTCTGTGGAGGGCCAGGCCGCCTCTGAGGAAGATGAGGAAGAAAAGTGGTGGGAAAAGTCAAGGTCCCCAGAGGTCCAGGCCAAGATGCCACTGGCACAGCCCTTGGCCTATGTGAGCAGGTAGGTACCTAGCTAGCCCTGGGCTGGTAGCAGGGACCAAAAAACACGAAGGCCCCAGGACAGCAGCCTCGCCTTGCAGGTGCCATCACACATGCGTGAACATGAGAAACTGATGGCCCTGGGTCACAGCCTGGCTTGGCCACCTGACATCACCGCTGGTGGTCAAGCTCCAGAGGTGGCTAAATATCCCAGAAAGTGCAAGGGTAAAATGAGATGACCCTTGAGCACAGAACTCATGGGTGGATTTAGTTTCCACCAGCTATTATTCCCTTGATCACTGTCCCAAAACCTTCTCCACTGCTGTCACTTTTGGGCTATCCAAACTGTCACTCCCTGAAACACAGTTCACTGCCCCCATCCTCCCCAGTCTGGCCCTGGGTTGATTCATTTTCAGCTACCCATTGTAGCTACACCATTTCAGCTACACCATCTTAGAGAGGAACAAAGATGGGCTCAGTACTCATGAAGATCTCAGACAATTTGCCTGACTTTTCCGGGCTTCAGTCTTCTTGTCTCAAAGATGAGAATGTAAGTCTTTATGAGAACTTGAGGTCAAAATGTGGGTGGGTAGGAGGGTGTTGGAGAGGTTGTGGGTGAGGCCTCTGACAGTTCCTCTGAGAGACATAGGAGGATGCTGAGCAGACAGGCTCCATGCTGACATCCTCTTCCCAAGGCTGGAGCACCTGAAAAGCAGGTCCCTGCAGCTCTGCCCTCTCCTCTGTTGTAGGTGTGAGGACCAGACAGCTGAGAACCTCAAGACGTCCTTTGGCCACTGTGATAGTGCTGACCATGCCTGCACCCTGGAGCTGGAGACCCATGTCACCAGGCTGGGGGAGCAGCTGCAGTCCCGGGGCTGCAGCAGGGAGGCCCTGGGGACAACTGGGGAGGAGGTCAGCAGAGTCCTAAGATCCCAAGAGTCTCACAGCTGGAGGGACTGTGATCCCCTAGCCCATTCATAGAGGTGTAAACAGGACTCAGGAGATGTGGTTTCCTCTGGTTTCATTTTCTAAGAACTTTTGGTTGTAAATTACAGTATCTCATCCCAGATTAACCTGAGTGCAAAAAGGAACTTACCAGGACTTGGAGCTGAGGACCAGCAGCAGGGGCTTCAGGCACACCTGTATCCAGAGGCTTAGACATGATTATCTCCTGTCTATCGCTCTGGAACCTCAGCTTTGGGTCAGAGATATTTTCCTATAGTAAGCCCTGAAAATCTAAGACTCAAAGGACACAATGTTAACAATTTAAAGATCTTAATTGGCTCTATTTGTGATTCTAGAATCTGGCAACACATCAGCCCATCAAATAGTGAGGTCTAGTAGGCGGGCAGGTAGACAGGAAAGGGCTGAGAACAGAAGAGCTAGCCACTTCAGAGCTGTATTCCCTGTAAGGCAGGTCAGGGAGGTAAATGATGGGTAACAGGTAACATCAGGTTCCCCCAGGCAGAGCTGCAGCAGATGGTGGAGACAGAACATCTGAGGATGGAGCTGCAGATGGTGGAGACAGAACGAGTCCGGCTGTCACTACTGGAGGAGAAGCTGGTAGATGTGCTACAACTCTTGCAGAGGCTCCGGAATCTGGTGGGCTCTGGGGGATGGAGCAGGTGGGGGCTGGAAGTGAGATAAGGGGCCAGAGGAAAGCTGAGGGAATGAGAAAGGCCAGGGAAGTCTAGACGGGACCCCAAAGACACTAGAAGAGCCTGCAGGGAGCCAGAGGAGGCTGAGGTGGGAGCCTGATGGGGAGACTGTGTGGCAGATCCAGGGTTCTCAGTGGGTGCTTCTCCACTAACAGATAAAGAGTGGAGACTCAGAAAAGTCACCTGGAGAGGTGTGGGGAATCCCAGGTCAATTTAGGAGGCTGATACAACTGTGATTAAAACCAGATCTGGCTGGCAAGATGGCTCAGAGGGTAAAGGCACATGTTGTGCAAACCTGGCAACCTGAGTTCAATCCCTGGAATCTATGTAAAGATAGGAGAGAACCAGTCACACAAGGTTGTCCTTGACATACATCATGCACGTGCGCACACATACACGCACGCGCACACACACACACACACACACACACACACACACACACACACAACCAATAATAAACCAAAAAAGCTGGGAGTGGTGGCGTACGCCTTTAATCCCAGAACTCAGAGGCAGAGGCAGGCAGATCTCTGTGAGTTCAAGGCCAGCCTGGTCTACATAGCAAGTTCCGGGATAGCTGGGGCTACAGGGAGACCCTTTCTCAAAAAAAACCAAAAAAAAAAAAAAAAAATTTAAAGACCAGAGGGGATAAACACAAGAATTATAAAATAACATCTCTTTTAAACATGGCTACGAAATTATTAAAGAAAAGACTAGCAGACTGGCCACTGTGATGGCTCATCCCAGCTGCCCACAGTAGACTGAAGGAATGAACCACTGACCTAAATAGAGCAGCATGGGCCAGGTATGCAGGACCATGAAACCTGTATGGGGTAGAAGTGGGTTCTGAGTGGGCATTTGCTGTCCCAGTCTGGCCCAGTGTCACACAACATGGGCAGACAGAGAGCTGGAGATGAGCCTGAGACCAATTGAGACCCAGCCCAGTCCCAGAGGCATTGATGTGCAGCAATGATTTTTTTTATTGGTTTGGTTAGTTTTTATTTTAGTGAGACATGGTCTTACTGTTATAGCCTAGGTTGGCCTTGAAATCTTGGCCCTGCTTCCAGATGTGCAGCAATGGGTTTTTTGGTTTGGTTAGTTGGTTTGACATGGTCTCACTGTGTCACCTAGGTTGGCCTTGAAATCTTGGCCTTGCTTCCACCTCCTGAGTGTCAGGATTACAGGTGTGGCCAGCAGGTCTGGTTCTTTTTTTCTTACACCACTTTTCCATTGATTGAAATGCATATAATTAAGTTGTTTGGGGGTTCAAATGAACAAATACCTAAGAATACTTAGCATTTTCCCCAGGATCAGCTGTCTTTGCAAACCTGATCTTTGGTGGAATGGAGCCTGCATACCGTTCCACCTCTGCGCACTAGGGAAGCCAGTATAGCCAGCCTCGGGATGGGAGGCAGAGAGGGAGGACGGGGTTTGGGAAGGGAGGATGGGGCCAGGAAGGGAGGATGGAGTGGGAAGGGAGGACAGGGAGGCAGGAAGGGTGCAGGGGGTGAGGAAGGGGGTACAAAGGGCAGAAAAAGAGGACAGATAGTAGGAAGGTGAAGATGGGGGCAGGAAGGAAGAGTGAGGGGAAGGAAGAAAGGATGTTTAGCTACTTTACCAGCCCCAAGGAGCAGCACAGAAGGCCCTAGGAGCCACCGAGCCCCACCTGCTGAGTGGGGACACAGCAGCCACAATCTGATCCAACCTCTCTTCTCTTTTGAAGAATATATCAAAAAAAGCCCTGGGGAAGATTTTGCTGAGCACGCTGGACCGGAACGCCTCACAGGGTAGGCAAGAGTGCTGTCTCAAAGAAAGTAAATGACAGCTGCAGGGCATCCTGACCAAAAAAATCTAGCACTGTTCTATGTTCTGTCTGCAAAATGGCCACTCTGCAGGGTATAGTCAAAACAGGCTTCAGAAAGCAGAGAGTACTATGTAACCAGAACAGACCTGCAGAAGCCCCAGGCAGTGTGGGAAGCCAGAATGGGACAGGCAGGCAAGGCTGGGTTGCCTGCTGGCAAGTCAGACTGGCATTGCTCTCTGGGTTTACCATAGGCCAAGCTCCAGGGAATGCCTCTGTGGTTTAAATCCCCCAGCTCTGACAGCTGACTTATAAGATAGGGGTTCTCCCCATCACTCATATGAAGAGGCTGAACAGAATCACGTGTTATCCCCAGGCAAGCCCCTGGTGGGCGCCTAAAACACAAGGCTTTGCAGCCCTTGCTGCTCAGACAAAGCTGAGGACAGCAGAACTTCATCAGCATATGTCCCCTGAAGCAGATGGCGCCTTATTAGAGCCTCCTGGGGAGACTGATAGATGAACCTTCCCCTATCAGGATCTTAACAAGGCATTACAAGCTAGAAGCCCTCTCAGGAGTCCTCTGTGAAGGAGGGACACAAGGGGCAGGGACTAAACAGGGCCAGGGAGTAGTATAGGACATGGTGGTAGGGAGAGAGAAGCAGTTCTGTGGCCAAGATAAGCAAATGCCTTTTGTTTCTCTCTAGAGGACACATGTGGCCCCTCGGCTGTCCTGGACACCCTGCACCAAGCCTTGGTTGACTGCGAGCTCCTGCAGAGACAGCCCTCAGCATCAGAATCCACAGCTCCTACACATACCAACCCTCTCCTCATTTCCTGCTGAGGTCCCTGGCCCAGCCTCAGGGCACCCTGGTCATTCTAATCACCATCAGACCAGTCTTGGCCACCATCACACTAGCCTCCACAGTCACCCTGACCACCTTGGGACTAGCCTTGGCCACCATTGGACCAACCTCCACAGTCAGCCTCACTACCATGAGATTAGTCTCCTCAGTCATCCTGACCAACATCAGACCAGACTCTATGGTTATTTAACTACTGTCCTACTAGCCTCCATGGTCAGCCTAATCACTGTTGGACTGCCTTCCACCCTTAGAACAAACACTCTCCACAGGCACTCTGACTGCTGTCACTTCCTCAGAACTCTGACAGCCCAGGCTCCAAGAATGGGTCTTGGACCCCTCTCACATTCCCTCAGAACCCCCACACTGAATCCCTGAAGTTGCTGGATCAGCCTGTACCTGATGTTATCTTCCTTACCCTAGGCCCAGTACAGCTTAGAATCTCTGTGCTAGAGTCCCAGGATCTCTCTCCCTCCCAGAGCAATCCTCTTCCCACCACTGTGCCTGCTGCAAGTAAGCCTGTCCTTCAGGACATGCCTAGTCCACTGGTGAATTCCCCACACCCAAAGAGTGCTAAAGAGGAGGGACAGTGGGGAGTTCCAAGGAAAAAGTACGCTCCCATAGGTTTGCTGGTGGAAGCTGGGCTGTGTGTGAACTCCTCCTAGAAGTAGGAAGTAGGTGGCCACAAGGAAAAAGGGCATAGACAAAGCAAAGGTGTGGTGCCATTAAGGGGCCCACCTATTGTAGAACCCAGGGCTCTTCCTTCTGTTCACCTTGTGGAGCCTGAAGAAGAGCTAGCTCCCACCCGACCTAAAATCACGTTGGAAACAAGGGCATCCTGGCTAGTTGGCACCATATAGGCAAGTCAGTGCTTAATTGAGGAACATTATGGGAGCCCAACCAAGAGAGTGTGTCTGAGCTACAAAAGGATGGGGGTTGTTGGTTTGCCCCAGAGGATGAGGTGTGCTGTAGAGGCAGCAGGGGTGACAGGTGCTGATGTGAGCCAGAATGGGAGTGAAAGGACAGCTCAGGGGAGACTTGAAAGCAGACAGGGATTTAAGACTTGACCACAAGCAAGAGAAAGCAATGGGAGGCTTCTAAGCTGCCATGTGAGGGTTAACAGGAATTAGGAGGAGAGGGGTTGAAAAAGAGGCCATGCAGAGCTGTGGGAGCAAGAAGACTAAAACCAGTCTGAGCCACAGCCTCAGGAGACTGGGGAGGGAGTCAAGAGGAGAAGGACAAGGAGCAATGGGCATTTCTGGGCAAGGGAGGAGAGGGAAGGGAGGGCTTCAAGGGCAATGAAACCAGGCCCTAGCGTCACCCTGGCCCCTGACCATAAGAGTCACGTAAGATCATAGGCAGAAGACACAGGTCTATCCATTTTCAAATGGCTCTTCAGCCATCTCAGAGGACCACTTCTGGTCCAGGTGAGTCAGGCCTATTTGGGAAGGGCCTCAGGATCCTCGGGGGTCAGTGCCCATGGCACCAGAGAAACAGGTCTGAGCCCACCCAGCCCTGCTGCTCCAGGTGAACTAGTAAATAACCACATGACTACCCTATGCCTGTTTGGCCTGCTCAGTGAGAGCCAGTTCTGCACCCTGTTCAGCCTATGTGTGTGCTAGAGCTTAGCATGGATAAATGTGCAAGAAAAAACTCCAGAGGACCAGGCAAAGGAAACCCCACACTTTGGCAAGTCTACCTTAGTGAGCTCTGCTATGACTTCACAGGCAAGATGAAAGAAAAAATCATCTCTTGCTTCCTGAAGGAGGAAGATCAGTGTGAAATCCATTAGCACATTCTGGGTTTTGTTTTGCTGTTTTTCTGGTGTTGAGGCTGAACCCAGGAACCAGTGCTATAAGCAAGAACACCCCCATGGAGCCGCACCCTGGACCCCATTCTGTTCTTTCAATAAGCCTTCCCTCAAGAGAAACTATTTTGCTGGAGCCTGACAGGTACAGGTTTTATCAGTGCCTCAACAAACAGAAAAGGGAAATTCATTCCCACGTCCAGATCCCCAGAGCTGTCCCAGTCAAGGGAGAGAAAAGAAGAGGGCAAGGATGGCCCAGCTCAGACTCACTGAAACTGAGGCCGGATCACAGCACTGTACTAGGTTTTATTGTTTTGCTTTCTTTGAGGAGGGTCCTACTATGTTACTTAGGCCTCAGTTTCAGTGAGTCAGGGCCTGGGCCAAGCTTGTCTCTGGTTTTCCCTCGACTAGGCCAGGCCAGCTCTGGGAATCTGGATGTGGCAATGAATTTCCCTTCTCTCTTTATGGAACCGTCCTCCTGCCTCCCATGTAGCTGGGACAATGGATTATATCACCATACCCAGCTAATCCTGGTACTACACAACACCCAACACCCACCCCTGCCACACCTTTTACTACCACGTCACTAAAGGCTCAGCTCCTGGAGTTCCTTCCCCAGCACATAAGAGTCTGCCTTTAGCAGAAGACATGTCAAACTGAAGAGAAAGTCAGCTTTGACTGGGTCAGGGAGTTGGAAAACATTAGACCAGGAACTTAAACAGCTGCGATTAACAAGCAGGCATTCTACCGGAAAAGCTCAACAGTGTCCAAAACCAGATGAATAACAACAGAGGGTCACGTTCCAAGAAAGAATAATTGCTGGGAATCATACACACTGAACAAAACGGAGACTGCTCTGACAGGCTCAGCAGTCAGCTGGACAGGGCTGAGGAAAGAATCCCAGGATCTAAGGATCTGTCCCTACAAACTTCTAAAACTGAAACAAAGAGGAAAAGACTTGGAACAGGGAGCAAAAAATCCAAGAACTGTCAGGCAACTACAAAACCCATAACCAAAAGAGAAAAAAAGGAGCACAAACAACATTTAAAGCAATAATGACTGAATTTCCCCCCAAACTAATGTCAGACACCAGATCACAGATCTAGGAAACTCAGAGAGCATGAGCAGAACAAATGCAAAAGAAAAAAATTAAAATTACATCTGAGCCAGTCCTGGTGATGTACACCTATAACCCCATCATTTGAAAGGCTGAGGTAGGAGGACCAGGAGTTCAAGGCCTGGGCTATATAGTGAGGACCCACCTCCACCCCAATCTCAAAAAAGACAAGAGGGAGAGGAAAGAGTGGTATGAAATATTTAGAGAGGAGAGAGAGTGAGAGAGAAAGGGTCTAGAATTCACTTTTTTGGTCTTTTTGAGACAGGGTCTCTCTCTGTAGCCCCAGCTGGCCTGAACTTGCAATGTAGACCAGGCTGGCCTTGAACTCACAGAGATTCACCTGCCGCTGCCTCCCAAATGCTGGGATTAAAGGCGTGTACCACCACGTCCAGCTAGAATTCATTTTATCTTGAAAACTTGTCCTTCAAATTGAAGAAGTAAAGATTCTCAGACAAACAACTTTTGGGCTTGTAAGAAATGAAGGAAGTCTTTCAGAGACAAAGGAAATTACACAGACCAAAAATCTGAATCTACCTAAAGAAAGAAAAAGCATAGAAAAAGGACTAAGGGAACAAAAGTTTTTATCTTATTCTTTCTTGGTCTAAGAGACAACAGTTCAAAGCTTGGCAACAGTGCATCGTGCAGTACTTTCTGCTTTTGTGTAAGTGAAATGAGCCACAGCACAGGTACAAGGCCAGGAAGGAACTGGGAATGTTTTGCTATTGTGAGATACTTGTGCTACCCATGAAGGAGTGTGGTGCTGTGTGAAAGTGGACTTGGATTACTTATAGATGGATATTGCAAACTTTATGGCAACCACTAGGAAAGGAAGGAATAAGGGAGAGAGGGAGGGAGGGATGGAGGGAGTACAAGAAGAAACAAGGCATACTAAAAAAAAGGAGAGATGAAATTACATAAAATGCTTTATTAAACCAAAAATGCCAGACTACCAGCAGAAGGCAAAGAACAAGAGGGTTAAACATTAAAAGACATGGAAGACAGCAACCCCAGTCAGTGTCTCCCCAGACACCAATGCTCTGGATACAACAATCAGAAAATGGAGATTTTTCAGGCCAAACTCTATGCTGTCTTCAAGAAATCCACTTTAGATACAAAGACACATGTAGATTAAAGTAAAGGAGCAGAGGAAGACAGTACCTTGATAACAGTAATCAAAAGAAAACCTACTTAGCTATATTAATTTTAGACAGAGCAGACTTCAAGGCAAGGAAAATTATCAGGGGCAAAAGAGGCATCATATGATGTCAAAGGGGCCAGTTCTCCAAGATGACAGTAACATATGCACCAGACAACACCACAAAATACATGAGACAATAATTAATAGAACCGCTAGAAACAGGTGAATCCACTCTTGGAGTTGCAGACTTCAGCATCCTTCTACAGGAAAATGAAAAGATCCAGCTGGTAGAAAATTGATAAAGCTGGACACACCAGTATCACCAACCAAACGGATCTAAAGGACACAAGCCACTTCACCCCACAGCAACACAGTACACACTCTCCTCAGGCTCATACACAGCAGTCTCCGCATTCTCATAACATACAGCTGGGAAATCCACAGAAGAGTAAACACCAGAAAACACATTTAACTAAATGACAATGGAAACACCCCATTAAAAAGTGTAGGGTAGGGCCAGGCGTGGTGGTGCACGCCTTTAATCCCAGCACTCGGGAGACAGAGGCAGGAGGATCTCTGTGCGTTCAAGGCCAGCCTGGTCTACATAGTGAGTTCCAGGACAGCTAGGGCTACAGGGAGACCCTGTCTAAAAAAAAACCAAAAAAAAAAAAAAAAAAGTGTAGGGTATAGCAAGAGCCGAGCAAAGAGGGAAGTGTTATCATCCAATGGATATGTTAGAAAAAAGATGACAGATCCAGAGTCCCCTACCTCAGAAAACTGTAAAAGGAAAGGCAAATTTTAAGTCAAACTTGATCTATAAAATCAATCCAGCACAACACGGGTGGGTGCACTTATCTACACGCAGGCAATACATGCATACGCATAAAATAAAAATAATAAAATATTTTTAAAATAATTTTTTTGGTCTTTTTGAGACAGGGTCTCCCTGTAGCCCCAGCTGTCCTGGAACTCACTATGTAGACCAGGCTGGCCTTGAACTCACAGAGATGCACCTGCCTCTGCCTCCCGAGTGCTGGGATTGAAGGCATGTGCCACCTCTCCTGGCCCCCAAAAATAATTTTTTTTTTTAAATCAAAGTAAGCAAAAGAAAAGAGCAGAAATCAATGAAACTGAAGTAGGAAATCAGAAAAGAAAATCAACAAAACGAAACCTGGTTCTTGGAAAGTTCTAGACAGGCTAATTAAGATAAAATAGAGGCGTCAACTTACAGGTGCATCACTACAGGGCAGATCCCACTGGCGTCACAAGGATATTAAGCATTATTGTGAATAACCCTACACCTTATTAGCTAAATGAAAGGGACCAGTTCCTTGAAAAAAACAACCTGCCAAAACTCACACAAGAAGAAACAGAGATGACAAATATAATTAATAAATAATTGACAAAACAGAAAAAAAAAAAAAAAAAAAAAAAAAGCTCTGGAAATCCCAGCACTCAAGTGACAGAGGCAGGCAGATCTCTGTGAGATAGGGGGCAATCTGGTCTACAAACAAGTTCCAGGCCAGCTAGAACTATAGGGAGATCTTGCCTAAGAAAAAAAAGAGGACTGGTAATATAGCTTAGTGGCAGAATCCTTGCCTGGCATGCATGAGGCCCTATGTTCAATCTCAGTATTGGGGTGAGGGAGGGAGGGAGGGAGGGAGGGAAAAAAAACAGGCCCAGGATAGATTCTCTATTGGATGTTACTGCTGAACTTTAGGGAAGAAACTATACAAATTATCTTCACTCTCTTCCACAAAACATTGCCATCATCACATTGACAAACAGTTCATGAGAAATGAAAGATCAAAATATCTCAAACACAGATGCAAAAATCTTCACCAAAATATGAGCAAGTCAAACCCCACAACATGAGATGGGGGTACAGCTCAGTGGTAGAGTACTTGCCCTTTACTCAGGTCCTGGTTTTAATCCCCAGTACCACAAAAGAATGCACATAAAGAATTGTTTGCTTTACCCAAGCAGAACTGATACACTGCTGTTTGAGAGACAGGAAACAGAGAGACTGGACACCATGGCCTCTTAGGCATCCTTAGAGTAAAGCTGGTACTGAGCACTTCTTAGGCCTTCTGAAACGTGTTTGCTTGCAGCCTTGGCCACCTTTCTCCTCACCCAGTGTGGAAAGGCCTTGAACTTGGATGGGACAAAGACTCAGGATGAGATGTCTTCAGTGGAACAGGGGATTCCCTGGTGACAGACCTGGGCCAAGCCCAGACCATTAGCTGTGAGCAACAGAAATCACTGTGGGGTTCCCTCACCTCCACTTCCACAGAGCTCAACAGCAGAGCTCCGCCTACCTGACCCACAACCAAGGAACAGGCAGGGCCCTTACTAAGCACAAAGGCCTAAGACTGTGACAGGAAAGAAAGCAGGAAGGTGCTTCACAAGAAGATGGACATGCTGTTCCAGTTGAGCTGAAGGCTGAGGCCATGTCTCCAGAGAGGTGCTGTCATGAAAACCTCTGTGTCTCCTTGAGTCAGAAGCAGTGTAAGTAAACAACTTGAGAGGCCTTCATTCAAACAGAGCCTCCCTCAACATGTGAGCCAAAGAATTTGCCACAATCTTGACCCAAAGTTCCTTTTACTTCCTGTGGATCCTGGGACTCACTGTGCACCGACTCCTTGACCTCAATAGTGTTGTCCAATAAATCTGCAGCTTTCGGGGGCTAGAGAGATAACTCAGTGATTAAGAGCACTGGCTCGCACATGGTGGCTAACAACCGACCATAACTTCAGTTCTAGGGGATCTGACACAACACCCTCTTCTGACCGCCACAGGCATTGCATGACAAGGGTGCACTTGGGTGCAGGCAATACTCTCATACACATAAAATAAAAATAATAAAATTAAAAATAAATTTTAAAAACTCTCAGCTTTCTTCATAGAGACCTTGCAATTTATGTGAATGAAAATTTCTTGAGCTCATTGGTAGGCACCTGAGCATGAGTGAAGTGTTAGGGTCCACCTCAGCATTAAAAAAAAAATTCTTGTTTAAATATATCCACAAAGTTGTTAGCATTCTTCTTCCAAAATGGAAGAGCTAATTCCTTCCTTGAAAGTGAACAAGCCCAGTGACTCCCATCTAACAAATAGAACATGGTGGAAGACCCAGCCCACAGCTTGGTGGTACCTTTCCTGCTGTCTCGACCACCGTGTTCTGAGTGCTCCAGGTAACCCTGTACAAAGTCATCTCTTTGAGTCATCCCAGTCTGTCAATAGCTAACAAGGAACTAAGGAGTCCTCCAACAGCTCAGGCTCACATTATCAAGTCCAGTCATGTCTTCCAAAGACAACAGCACCAGTCCTGCTGAGATCCAGACTGTGGTATCTAGAACTCTTCAGCCAAGGCATGTGTTTTTGACCAACAGAAACCACGTCAGGGTGAAGCTGCTGTTTGGGGAGTGGTGTGTTACACAACAGTAAATAACAATCACATTTCTTACGGTAAACTTGTGTTTCATCAGCATACAGGGTGGGGTAGGAAAAACAGTAGAGGGTGCTCCCCCGTATGAGCACCACAAGAGGCCTGACAGTGGTCCCTAGACAGGGTGAAAGGAGGTCAAGTTCCCCTACCCCCCACCAGCGTGAAGCCAGCCGAGGGGCATTTACTAGCAAAGAGATGCTGGGGAAGAGGAGTGCTGTCGCATACTTGTTCAGATCTGATGCTTCGGGTTCACATCATATACAATTTCACCCTGGCCAAAGTCTAAATGGGAGTGGGAAAAGAGGGGACCAGGTGTGCACTGAGACTCCAGAACCCGACCCCATGCATGCCCAGTATGCACTTAGAAAACACAATTCAAAGATAAATTTGTTTCACATTTCAAGAAAGCACCCCAGAACTTGAGACACCCAGGGAAGAGTTCTTGAATGAAGAGTAATACACTGGACAGGCTGGGTGAGGAAAGGGGAGGGCAGGAGAGGCAGTAATCCCACAAGAGTTCAAGAAAAACAAGAGAATTAAGTGTTTGAGAGCAGACTTCCTATCTACCACTTTTCTTTT